AAGTCAAAGTCATATTTATATAGCCTTGCAGTAGTATGTTTGAATCATTTGAGCCAATTCGAAAAGTAGCAGGTGATGTGACAGAACCCACGCCAGAGCATACGATCTGATCCAAACCTATGATCTCAAAGCATTATGAAGTAATTATTACATGCAACAATTAACGCCGAGAGAACTACGAACATGGCTGCGATAGGATTTCCGAACAGGTTGCGAAGTTTCCAGTCGTAAACAGGTTTGTGCTCGATTTTCAGGTATATTGTTGTTAGGAATCGATGGACAGTGAAATTAGACTTGGTGATGGTAGTTCCCTTAACCTATTACCTGGAAAAGAGATGAAAAACAGTTATCCAGGCCCATATGTTCAAATGGTTGTGGACGGAATAGAAGAAGCTTTCGCTTAACAGGCTTCCGTATCTAGTAGCAGGGGATCACGAAATCCCCCAGGCTTCAAGCATACAACAAATACTTACTTACTCCTAAAAATGGTAGCACTTAACAGTTAACAAGTGTTAAGTTAAAACTTGAATAATCATACCCGCAGCGTCCTTGAAGTAACAAATCAATTCCGTTTATTTTTCCTCCAACTTCGACCTTGGTCGAATAGAAAGGACGAATTTATTGTGCCTTGTTATACCTGATTATGTGTAAAGACTCAGAAACATTTGCTTCAACAGTACTTCAATGTTCACTTTTCTGGAAAAACTTCTTGTAGTTATTGCAAAGTAGTAGTGTCAGTCATTATTTTAAGCCTACATATCTTATTCTAGCTTTCGGACATTCCATTCTATTCATTCTACTTGAGTCATATTTTGACCTTGTCAATTATTTGCTTACCAGTCTTGACTGTTTTTATATGAGCATATATGTGTGTACACTTCATATCCCATGACTCATCACATGTCTGTAGTTTATTTTGTCTGCCTATAATATTGAGTAACGCTTGACTAAAATGGAGTTGGCTTCCCAGCCATCTTCCATACGTGTCATTTTGCTTTGCTCTTTTTAATTCGCTTCGTGTACAAGATATATGTATTCACAAGTCAGTTCTCGTTATTCGACTTATTTAATTCCGTTATTGACTAACGCGATTCAAGTCGACGATTATATACAAGAATAGGCGATAGCAAACATTTAAACTATCTTGGTGTCAGATCCACGGGCCACTAAAAAGTAAAATAGACCTTCCAAAATAAATAGTTCTGTATGTCTTCATCATTGATGACTATTTTATTTATTAGATGCACCCTAGATGAATGTGCTCGGCCACCCATCAACACCAGTTCACGAGTAGCTACCTTGCTCATTCTTGCTAGCCAGCTTAGACTAAACGCTTCTCGATGTATCAACAGATTCCCGAATATATCTTTCATTTCTGACTTCTGATTTCATTGGGTTAGTATCCTTCGATTAACAAAGTGTTGTAGCGGTAAATAAATCCCCAAAATAAATAACTCTGTAAGTTTTCGACATTGGATGCTGACCACATTAGTTTTGATGGACTCACATAGCTGAAGGCGCTCGGTCATGCATCCGCACCAGATTGCGAGTAGGAACGCTGTGTTCAACAACCCCTGCAATCGCTAGCCAGATTAGATCAGACGATCCTCGACATATTGATAGTCTATCAAATATATCTTCGAACCTCCTCGCTTCTGTCATTTTATTTCATTAAGTGGGTACGCTTCATATTTGATGTTACTTGTTATAGCGTTGTCAAAATCCGAATACCTGTGGCATCTTCAGTGTCACGTTTAAGTGTGTTGTGAAACTCGGAATACGGTAAACGAATCTTCCCAAAGTATTCGATACTGACCTCGTCAGTCACTCACTCAAACCAGATCGCCTTAGGACATGCCATGCAACTCATCCTTCTCAACAACTGGTCAGATTGGACCACACACTCCTCAACATACCGAATACCTCACAAATAAATCTTTAATCATTTACGTTTATGACTTCTGGTTTGCCGAAGTTTTTGAGATTCGATTATATATGTGTTAAGGAAGTAAATTTTTCAAGCCTTAAATATCCATGAAGCATTATTGCTTGTTTTTTATCTATGTCTTGGTATTAAAAAAAGATTCTCAACTCTAGAGAGACATAACCCTTGCTTAACTCATTTAAAACTCCTTTGTATGTTGGCATAATGTAGATCACCAACATAGATGATCTATGTCGAATGATTGGAGGCCTACTCGAGTTAGACGGGAATAGTGTGACGAACCAGCTAACGTCGAAGTCACACCTCGCGGTCAGCACCTTACGTAGATTACCCCATTGACGTATCAAGGTACTATAGACGCATTGAAGACTGTACAACACAAAGGACTTTATTGCAGAAATATATCAGTTAGAGTAGATACAGGCGAAGGTAATACCACTGCCGCATGAGCCAAAAACTGTACCTTGAGGCATTCTCCTTACCACAGTTTCCTAGCCATACAACTTCGAGTCCACCCGAACCGTTTGCTCACGCCCAACTAGAAAGTCTTCCTCCACATTATCTAATTGCCTTTATTCACGATATTACATAACTGAGATAAAAGTCGTTTGTGAAGAACTTTATCGAAAGCCGTACTGAAGTCAATCTAGGCTACGTCTATAGGTAACTTTTGATCTGTAAGAGCTCAGCATTTTTCACGGGCTACTAATATGTTAGTGAGACATTAATAATCTATTCAAAAGCCATGATGCCTTTCAGAAAGAATCCGGATTTTGTCTAAATACTCAAATAACTCCTTCGCAATAGTGTTTTCTTTATTTTGACAACCATACTGGTAAGGCTTACGAGTCGATAGTCCTCATGTCCGTGTCTTGTATCAGTCTTAAAGTCGGTATTTACTATGATGTTCCTCCAGTCTTTTGGTAATCGACCGTGGGTTACAGATAGATTAAAACATATGCCTGAGGGATTCGCTGCGAAATTTATCAATTCCTTTAGTAACCCAGTATGGATTTCATCGAGTTTCATGAATTTGACTATATGAGGGTCACTTAGCAGACCAAGGATATTGGGTTCTTTAGTGGTCGTAGTGTACGGTGCGTGTGTGCGTCATATGAACTAGAGGGTGGGGCATCTCTGAGGCAAATACATCGACAAATTAATCTTCGAATTCCTGCATTTGCAATGTTCCTCCCCACCGATCGTTGGTACTGCTGTCTTTCCGTAATACTGGGATGTTGTCATTTCCCTTAATCCTTTGATTTATGTTCAGTTTCGATGACAATTCGACTGTCTTAATGCTGCACCCAGAGTGGCTTCAGCGTCATGCTCTATCAAAGACTCATCGCCAAAAAATTTTTAACTATAAGGTCCTTCTCGCCAGCATTTAATCTTAGTTTTAGTTCTCCTTCAGCTTTTTGTCTTTTCGCACGACCCGCGAGCGGCAAGTCTTTGCGAACACAAACTCCCAGCCCTCTTAATTAACGTCTATTCTGTAGTGTCAAGGTCCTTTCATTTAGAGAAGTAATTACCACTTTTAGCAGCCCGTTTCTGATTCTCTTTCAAGTCCTTTTGCCTAAACAGAAAAAAAACTTCCGACTTAATGACCTCATGGATATTTTGACGCAATAGGTGGTCAAGTATATTTTTTATCAACTCAATATCATTTACGATGCTACAGGTATTCGGATTTTGACAACGCTATAACAAGTAACATCAAATATGAAGCGTACCCACTTAATGAAATAAAATGACAGAAGCGAGGAGGTTCGAAGATATATTTGATAGACTATCAATATGTCGAGGATCGTCTGATCTAATCTGGCTAGCGATTGCAGGGGTTGTTGAACACAGCGTTCCTACTCGCAATCTGGTGCGGATGCATGACCGAGCGCCTTCAGCTATGTGAGTCCATCAAAACTAATGTGGTCAGCATCCAATGTCGAAAACTTACAGAGTTATTTATTTTGGGGATTTATTTACCGCTACATCATGCTCGAAACGAGTTTGGGATTCTGAGCTTCTCCCCTCCTTGTCATGATGATCAGCCTTTGACGTAATGCAATGGACTCTGTGGTTAGTTGGGATGGCTCAACACCCGTTTGTTTACCAACAGAGCGAGTACTATTTGAATTATCTCGAATTAACTTGCCAATACTTCTTTTAGCAGTGTTCAACATGGCTTCGGATAGCAAGCTTTTTGCGACCGAGCAGAATTGCTGATTCAGCTACACATAACTATTTTTAATAAACCGTTAGATTCATGATACCGCTGTGTTGTCATCATTTGCACTCATCTCACTGAATGCCACTTTCCACTAAGTATTAGAAACCCAAACATTGACAGCTCCATTTTTTGGCAATAATCAGTCATCAATCACAGGTTTCAGAATAAATTAGACATGAAAACGCAATGAGACAAAACGTGATAACCAGAAGAAAAAGCGGTATCGTAAACCGTTAGAGTCAAAAGTGCGACACACAGAAATCCAAGATACTCAAAAGTACAGCTGCCAAATTAATTTCGGAAAAACGATACTCTTGATATTACTTCAACTGAAATAAATTCAGTTAAAGTGAAGATAGTAGTCCTAATGCGTAATAAACGACCAAAACTGTAAAATCAACTCAACGAGGAAAAATACCACTATCCTTTTTAAATAGCGCTTCTATTACACCACGATGTGGTTAAAAATCATTTAGTGGATGCATTCGAAAGAAGGTTAAATAAATTGAGAGACCTCATCACTAGCATTAACATGGAATTTCCAATCGTGCGCTTTCAAGCTGCTATTAATTTCCCCAAAACGACACCTTTGGTAAGTATAGTCAGAGTGAATTGTGGTGCCAGGTGAGAGTATTTCGCGTAACAATAAAGCCTTCTGACACTTAAATCTGTCTATAGCTGGTTACAATACATCTGGAAGGTATCTTGATCTACACCTTGTTAATTACAGCGCAAATTTGGGTTTTGCCGCGCACTTCAGGATATTGCGCGAGGTCAGACACGCTAGTTGGAGTTGTAAAGTGCTAGGGTTTTATCGTTGGGTCTCAAATGTCTGATTACGCTGCATTCCAAACTTTGTTGTTACAACTTCAAAGCTCGGATAACGAATCTCGTACACGTTCTGAGGTAAATCAGAGTTTTGCTTTCATTGTTATTTTAGACGGCGTACGATGCCATTACACCAACAACTCGATTCACTCTGCTCCTCCAAGTGTTAAATGACAAGAGTATTGTCTCTCAGGTTAGTTCTGAGTGTGTTATATTTTGGCGTCTGTAATCAAATGTCTGTTACGTGGCTACACTTTACCTTGGGTGTCAGAATCCCTGTTTGTGTACCTTTGGTAATTTGTGTTGCCCAAGTATTTATCGCCTTTTAGTTTTTCGCAAATGAGAGAAGTTAGGACTACATTTTAAATATTACAACTAAATTTCAGTTTATGCCTATCTTGTTATGCTTGTTATATTTCATATCCCAGTAATTGACGACCTAACAGAACTGATTCCTTTCGACCACCCCAGATTAACTGACATTTAATTTTATCCGCTAAATCAGATATGCCTAATAGCGACCCATGCAACGATGTATAGACCTTTGGTGTATCAAGATATGGATAGTCACAACTGCTGTACGTGAACTTTTCTAGAACTTAACCGGGAATGATTTGGTGCTGGTATCAAACAACTTTTCGCAGACATTGATGTGGCCACATTGAATTAATTGTAGCGAAGTTTGCAACATGATATCGTACAACCAACTACTCATAACCAGACTAACTATAAGATGACGTCTAAGCTATCATAGTGTTCACAAGGTCCTACTTATGACTGACAAGGTATTAACATAATCGGAGTTAATATCTCTGAATGATAAATATAAGTTGCACTATTATGAACTTTGATGAGAGTAATCAATCATACCCAATCCCACCACGACTTGGGAACAGTAGAGTAAGTTATTGTATTTCCCGACCTTTCAATGTTATTCGTTTACTAAGTTTTGTTTCATGTCTGAGCTCTTCATATTACTAAATCCAGAGAAAAGCGTCCAAACTTACAAATGAGCCGAACACAATCCCATCTAACTAGTGTCTATTGCTGGTAATCCCAGTTTGTAAGAAAAGACGCAAGTCCTTTTGTGATAACCTCAGCAAAATTAATTAAACTATTATGGTGTCTAAAATACTAGCCTTTATAATCACTTGACATTTAGCTAAGACCTGTGAAAAGCAAGCTGGTTTTGGACCAGGACGTGTACATGTTGACCAAATTTTTTGGAAACGAACATACCAGCGCCTGACCATAATTGTATTTCTTGACCTTAAGGTAACATTTAAATCAGTTGATCATCAGGTTGTGTCAACATGTATTATTGGGAGGTGTATCAATGAAGTACGTCAACCTTGCAAAGGTTCTCATTTACAGTATTTGTCGAGTCAGCTTATGAAGAAGTATCACCCCGGTTGTCGACCTTCAAATAATGTTCTTCATAGATGTCTTAGAAACACCTAACTTCAGGGGCTGGCCTACCAGAAGGTTCACTTCGGATCTTGAGCAAAAATGCTAGCGTGTTCAGAACGCGTTCTTCTCCCTCTAAATACGAAACGTTTCTTCAGGAATCGTCTGTATTGTTGTCTGAATTAATGATAGGGAATCAGGTGGTTGAGTGTGCCGACCGCTTCAGTCGTCTTGGGAGTGTAATCAGTCTTACTTAGATGGCGTCTGTCGGTAACTTGGTCTTCATTTGCCGACTTGCGTCACTTGTGGCGCAGATGAGATGTCCATCTGCTAAGTAACATGTGTGCTGCTCAACAGTCTGCCCTTTCACGTTATAATTGCAAGACATGGTCTATGAAAGCAAAAGACATCCATAGACAGGTTTTTACTCATGGATATCTCCAAAGTATTTCCTACGCTTTGTGGAGCGACCAAGTGAGCAATACTGATGTCAAGCATTGAATACTGGGAAAAAATGAAAAATCGATTGGTGAGGTTTTAAACATCCATTAGCTGTAGTAATTAAGACGTGCTACTTATGTTCACCCACCTCGATGAGCAATGTTTTCTATCAAAGTAACCACATGATGGGTTCTATATTTAAGTCTGTATCAAATTAATGTGCTTCAGCATGTGATTTACTATCGTTTAATAGATAATAAATGATTGGCTGTCAGTGTTAAAACGTAGGCTAATCAGTTATTAATTTAGAAGAATTGTAACGTCTTTCCTACTTCAATAATCGTTTCTATAACAAACACCAAGTTACTATGACATGTGAACAAACCAAAATTAGTCTTGTGTGTCGGCGATCAAGTCACGCTTTTTGTCCCCAAGTTCTTGTCCTGCAGATGTTACAAACTTCCTAAATACTATCACATTAGTGTCTATTTAATCCGTCATGACTGTTTTAAGACAAAAAAATTTATGTAAACATAATACTGGTCAAAACCATCTTGTTTGTAATTGTAGTACTACATATTAAAAAATTTGTGGGGTTGGGTCACACCTTAATTGCTGTGATGTTATTCACTTTCGAAATAATTTATTGTTAATTTTTAAATTTCTGGATTGTTGTCAGTCTCGACATATGGCTGCGATTCTCGCACGCCGGCTACTAGTCAATGATTATGGTTCAGCATTCTTGCCTCTTCCAGTCGAAGCAAAAAATTCAGCTAAGCAACAGCTAGTTTTAATCTTAGTTCATGAAAGAGAACAATTAATGCGCAGAAAAGTAGCTGATCTGATCTCCGAACTGGTTCGAATGCAATCCGGTAGGTTTATTTATCTCTCTCTTGAATTTCTTCGTTTTAAGTGACTTATTTGGCGCTCATGCTCAGAATATGTATATAGTTCAAGTGCTTATTGCTAAAGTTAATCAAGAAGTAGATAGGGGTTTATTGAAAACAATGTTATTATCTGTTGTAAGACTTTATGAGAGGGGATTTTCACATGTTTATGAAAAGATATCTGTTCAAATATCCTAGGTATTCCAAAATCCCGACCGTTGTTGCTACCTTGACGTGGTGGTCGGGCTTGCCTATCGTGATGAAGCAACCGAGCTATACTGGCTGGAACAACCGTTCCTCAAGGTCCTACCATGTCAGACAGGTCGATTGAAGAGCGGTAAGACTAGAAGCAACAAACCCAAGGTCTGAGGGCGAAGTCGTACTGCTGACTGTACAGAGGTGTGACAGCAGTAAGGTGTTTCCTTCAAACAACCAGCATGACAGCGATGCTGCCTTCCCACAAGTAAGGTTGGGGTTAGAAAAGGTCGACCCTAAAAATGCACACCTCACCTTACCTCACGGATTTCCGTCTCCGGCGGTAAGGCCATTTAAAGAACGGAGCTAACACGTCAAAAACCTCCCACGAAAAGGCCGTGCGCGACCAGCCTCAAGCAGTTGTCCCTTGGGCACTGCGGTCACGCTCTCAGGTCACTGAGACCGCCTCTAATCCAATTTCCTTTTCAGGTACCTCCAAAAGAACCCTTCCTCGGTGTGGGCAACCGGGAAGTGATAACCGCCCTCATACCTCTAACAACACCCAAGACCACTGTATTCATAATCAACCTTCCTCTTCAATTCCTATATTCATATAGGTATTCCAAAATATGATTAGTACATTTTAGTGCTATGGGCTTATATAGGTAGAGTATATTGTTTCGAAATGTGCTGTGATTGTACGGTTTAATTCGTGTATTTGAAAATGAACATCCAGTGTTATATTTCAGTATGCTTCAATTTACTAGTCTAGAAGCAGAAATCATTTACAACTAGATTGTATCATTAGAATTAGGTTAACTCATTCACCAGCTACCGGAATATGTCACACCCTAGTTTTAAGCGCTTATGAGAAATCCCGGTTATCCATATCAAAGTAATTGAATCGGGTTTCAAATTCCAAAAGTCGAATACCTTAACCACTAAACCACCATTCCACGCAACTAGAATGATGATCAAGTAGTTCATCAGTTTGAAAGGAGCAAAATTCTATCTGTTAGTATTAGTAAACGCAATTCTTTTCGCTGCAATATTAACAATATGATTTTGAACATTTATACAGATGATGATGGTAATTCTGAATGGCCAGAATTCACTTCCATTTTGCTTGAATGGTCAAATTCACCTGATTCCGGGTTACGCGAAATCGCCTGCCACATTTTTGGATCAGTCCCATCATTATTTGGAAACCAACAGGCACAAAGCATAGGGATTATTGGTCAGTTTCTGGTCAGGGCTATTTCTGACCCTTCAAGTTCAGAGCTTAGAGCTGCAGGGTTGCGTGCCTTAGCTGCCTTTACTGTTCAAAATGCAACTGAAGACTCTGTACTTCAATCTCTCCGAGAATTGGTTCCCGTTGCACTACAGGTATAGTTGTTTAGAATTTACCCATATTTCATCGTAATTAATATCAGGAACTTGTCTAACATAAAGATGTCGACTATTAAAATTCAGTTGCTTTCTCTCTCCAGTTTTAGTTATTTGTAACTCATACATGAGAGTTATTATTTTCCACGTAGTAACAATCTAATTTGATGGTTCGCTGTATTATGGCTGTTCTTTTGTATATTGAGGCAGAAAATATTGTATTTTTCATTCTTATTTACTAAATTGTATCAAAAATCATTGATAATGATGAACTATCGTTCATCATTTTGGTTCATCTGTCATCTTATTAAATAGATTATATTTTGAATTTGTTGGTTTTCATAATTTCCATGTGATAAAAAAGGTTTACCGTAAGTTTTTGTTTCTCACTTATTTGATGTATCAATATAATTTGTATTCCTTGTTTCAGGCTATTGCTACTGCTATCCAAACAGATTCAGAAGATGATACACCTCTAAAAGCTTTAGTTGACATTGCAGATGCTGCGCATAAATACTTAAGACCTTATCTAGCGCCTACATTGGAGTTATGCTATAAGGTATGCTACGAATACATTATTTTTTCTTGCTTTTTATTGATTTTTTCCGTATATATAATTCGCTTTTTCGCACTTATTGCTTTAAAGTCTATACAGCCAGCTTTATTTTTACATGCTAAACTTTTACAACCAACATATATTCAATGAAATCTTAAGTGAAAATCCTTATTTTAGTAAACAGATAAAGTAAATAAAACACGTTCATTTTTCACGGGTCTGTTTACAAAGTTTTGCATCAAACTGGGAGACGAGCTGAATTGCCACAAAAATAAAATGAAATCACTAAGTAGGCAAAACAAAGTTTGAACATGTGAAACGATAATTAAAAGTTCAGAATGTAATAAACCACTATTTTAAATAGACAAAATAAGGGTGACAAATTTATAACACTAGACGGCTTACTGTCAAAATATGCTATCCGCCGGAAAACTGTTAAGTGTTGCCATTCATACCCACTATACAAATATACAATGCTTAGAAAGCGTAACATTGTACGGAAAAACATCAACTACTTTTAATTGGTCTATGCATTAAGTGCTTGCTACGGATAAATCTTCATTACTTTATAATTTCAGTACACAAAATGATTTTTATTGTATTAATGGGCATTATGTGTATGTTTATTAGTTTTACAAATGATCACTTTAATCGATTTAGTCACTTTTCCAAACTTAGTTGTCATTCACTGTACATTGAATTATAAATCCTTACGTGTTTTAACACCAAAATATTCTGAAATTCTTTTTCTTTTTCTTTTTTAAAAATCATATTCAATCTCAAAGTTTTTCAAAACAAAATGCTAAACCAAATTTTAATAGTTCAAATTTAACCATTATAAATTATTCGTCATAGAACAAGTTCACAAATTGATTATTTGTAGACTTTTTTGTCACAGGTAGTAACTTACTGATTGTACTTGTTCAAACTTTAAACAGAAACGATTGTTTTTTTTACTTTGAATCAACCAAGTTACATTATTAAATGGAAATTTCAATGGACACTTGTATTATCTCAGATTTATTCTTTGTAGTTATAAAGCCACTCCTTGTCCAATGATCATTAACAAGTAATTAGACTCTATCTCCATGCAACCTATTTATTTCACATACATCGTTATTCTGACAGGAATTAATTGGGATATTTTACCACTACAATTATGTATTGGATGGTTCTCATTTTACGTACACATCGACGTTTCAAAAAAACATTTTCACTTTGCACTTTTGATTTCTACTTCCAACGAAAACAAATTAACATCTAATATCAGCTATTAATAACTCAAACTTACACACAATCATTCATTTGTTTATCTTCATATTGTGAAATCTTCACATGATTCGCATATAACTGATTCATGTTATCCTTCTTACTAAAGTCAACATCTGGATATGATTGGATAAACACAGTAAAGTTTTGATTTGATTGTTAAACATAATATATTTCTTTGTTAGTTTTGATTTCAATAGTTACCCTGAAGAAGTCCAGACAATTTTGCTGGACGAAACGTTGAAATTATTTAGATTTCAATCTCTGAGATTATTTCAAATATGGTTTTCACAAATAACTATCTGAAAATTTCAACTGCTAGTTAGTTTTCGTTTTTTCCATTCATGACATCTTGTTAAGGTCTTTGTCTTGCATTCAAAATTTATATGCACAATCTTTTTGACCACTCGAATTTTTTAAATCATTCTATCTTGAACCGTATTTTTTAAACACAATTCTTTTTTTGTGTAGATATTGTGTAACGAAGAGCTTGAGGAAACACAAAGACATCTAGCCTTGGAAGTGATTGTTACACTAGCAGAAAATATACCAGCAGGTGTACGAAAGTCAGCCAGTTTAATCGAGTCTCTTGTCGGAACATTGCTCAACATGATGTCAGAAGTTGACGAAGAACCTGACTGGGCTGATGCTGACACTGCAGAAGAGGAGGATGACAGTAGTAATGCTCTCACGGCGGAACTTGCGCTTGACAGGTTATCATGTGCTGTAGGTGGTCAACATATCCTAAATGAAATCCGTCGATCTGTCCCAAATATGCTGCAAAACGGTAATTCATGAATTTTTAGTTTTTTCCCTAATTTTACGCGTTAAGTAACTAACAGTCTTTACACAAAATCTGCATTTCCTTAGTCAATGTACAAATATATCTATACTATTTCGAAGAAAAGATATTAGTTTGGTTTTTAGTAGTCCTATATTCCGTGAAATTGTGATCCTTAACTAATTTGTTCATCTTACTGGGTATTTTGATAGTTATTCATCAAATAAGTTCTGTTTGAAACTTATTGTTTTATATGCAAAGATGGATAGTGGCTAGCAGTGGAATCCAGGACGCACGTTTCGTCCTATTTACTAGCCACTATCCTTCTTTGCATATAATACTTGTAAATTAAGGCTATATCGAGACAATGCGCACAGTGTGCACATATGCCAAACCAAAACGTGGCATCAGTCCTTGAAGTCGCTAACTTCTAGTCTTAGCCATGTTGGTAGATGAAAACTACTCGGTTGGGGTCCGCGCGACCATCGCAACCAATGGTTTGAGACTCTAGGTGACTTGGCTCAGAATTGATCACGATGGTGTAGGTATATACACTCTTTGTCTTCCCTTAAACTATGAGATTAAAATTATTTCATATATTTCTTTCTGTACTATATGCTTACATAAAACCTTTCCTTTATACATTACACCATTGAGTTAACTGCTTCTATGAATCCGGTGTTCGTCTTGCTGTGCTAATGAGGTGTGGCAACTTGAATCGATGCACGTATGTGCCTGGTCCTACGTTGTAACTGACTGACTGATACCAATAATAGACTGATCAATTGCAGTTCTAAACATCAATGGGAAGATTCAAACAAACAATACCAAGTGAATATTATTGTTTTTTTTACAGCTGACTGGAAGCGACGGTATGCTGGATTAATGGCAATTTCCGCATGCAGTGAAGGGAGCAGCAAACAGATGGAGACTATGCTTGGTTCCATATTAGATGCCGTCCTCCCTCGTCTTAGTGATCCGCATCCACGTGTTCGATATGCAGCTTGCAATTCTGTTGGACAAATGGCAACGGATTTCGGCCCAAAACTACAAAAAACTCATCACAGTACTGTGCTCCCAGCATTAGTCCAAACACTTAACGATACAGTGCCTAGAGTACAAGCCAATGCTGGGGCTGCTCTAGTCAATTTCTGTGAGAAAGTACCACAGGTTTGTGAACAGAATATTTCTATCGGTGTATTTTTTCGTAATCATTAACATGCAATAATTTTAACTCACTAGTTAAATTATATTCGTTCCTTATGAAAGCCACCATGTATTTTATAAAAACGACTTCAACAATTACCTTTAAATTTGCATCTGTCCGCATAATTAGACTTTGGTTCAATTCTGTTACTATCATCTACGCTCCGATTTAGCTACCAATACAAGCTTCTAACGCTTGATCACCATAACAAAAAAACAGCCCCCAAATGCCCTGGCATGGCCGAGGGTGAGGAGAGCGTTTTCCCCATCGAAATGCTCTCACATGGCCACACGTATACAGCCACTGACAGAAAAGTCCTACTCACTGACTTCTCGCGGCATTACTGTTGTTTACAAAGTTGAGAGGACGAAAAGCGAATGTCCGCTTTAACCGGGTTAGTGAACTTGGAGGGTCCACTAAGAGAAGTTAGAAAACCCTGGTTCCAAACCAATGGTGCACATGGGTTCTAGGATCCTAAGAAAACAAATGGCGTACGAACCAATTACTGGTCACCGACTACCATGTGACTGCATCTCCTTACGTTGCTCCACTACCTTGTGGATCAGACCTTTAGGTCGAAGGCTCCAGATGTGGCCTAAAAAACCATCTACCTCGATCTGGGCACCCTAGCAGTATCACAGGCCACAAACAAATCGAGTGATTTATGTGGCGCATATGTATTCAGTGCTCCCTTTTATCAATATTTATGTGTTAAATAAATAGAATACACCTATAAATCACGTATTCTTATGATTAGGCAAGCTGATACCTTCATGAACATTTGGACGGTGATGTGGGATTTTCGAATAATGTGGTTTTTACAAATCACCTGGACATCCACCTGACTTATCATACAACCTTAAGATGATTGCGCAAATATGTTTCTTCACTCAATATACCACTCAATTGCGTGACTTTCGGTCACTAGGTTGTAATTTTAGAGTGTTATTGAGATGATATTCACTTGTGTATAATTAATGTATTGGTCAGTCTAATAATCGAGTTTGTGTAATAAATTAGTTCGCTAAATTAAGTGGAACTGAATGTAAATGAAGTATTCTTATCATGCAAAATAATCCCCAACTAAACAATAAGAGAAATAAAATGTTTAATTCCACAAATTAAGAAAAATTGACTACATTTACTTACGTTAGCGCATCGTGCAAACAAATAATTATATGTCAAGTTTTAATTCGTTATTATACATGCTCATATATTCCCTTTTTCAGCACATTCTGGTAAATTACTTGGATGATCTGGTTTCCAAACTCGAACAAATCATGAATTCCAAGTTTCAGGAGATGGTGGAGCATGGTCGCAAGTTAGTGCTCATGCAAATAGTAACAACTGTGGCATCTGTTGCTGATGCAGCTGAAAAGAAGTTCTTACCGTATTATGATCGGTGCGTTTACTTTGTATATATCGATTCCCAGTTTTAGATTATAATAAACCTTCAAACTGTGGTATGATGTTTTAACTTTTTTCATATGTCTTTAGTCGTGAAGTATATTTGAAATATTTAAAGTCGTTTATGAAGACTCAGTAACTTACTTTATGGATTATACAATTAATTGTTCCTAAGCCTGCGCAATCTTTTATTAAGTAGAAAAACATAATCGGTCGATCTGTACACATCTTGCTCATTTATTTTCCTTCTACGTTTTGTAACTAACACTACATGACTACATTCAGCGTTTCACTGCATTTCATTCATCAACATAGTTATCCAATATAATAATTATTATTATTGTCATTATTTGAGCACGTAAATATTGGTACAAGGGGGGCACCAAATGTATATGTGCCACACAAAAAATGAGAATGGGAAGAGAAGAAAAAAGGAAGGTAAGGAGCGCAAAAGAAAAAAAGAAGAAAAACAATAACGACCAGATTAGTGTAAGGTAGTGTAATGGTGCTAATAATAATGGAGGAAACGGAAAAGTACAACCAGAAGAAATCTTTCAGTTAAGGGAGATACAGCCACTTTTTATGAAGAAAGTAAATGAAGGTTACAGCAGGATCTCCACTGACTTCTATCCTGAGCCATATCTGATGACGTCTCTAGCCACTGTGTCGCACCATCTCTCGAACCCCAACCAAGGAGTAGTGAAGTACCAACAGTCCTTTGCATCTTTCTTTCATACCTCTACACCATGTCATACACTGATCACCTCTCCGCTTTTTCCAACTAGTCCCATCGTCGGAAAATAATGCACGACATGGAGTTCTCTGGGATGACATTCGTAGAACATGTCCAAGCCATCGAAGTCGATGTTTCAAGATGGTGAATGAATGAAAATGACAATATCCAATATAAAGGTTTTGTCGATCGTATATTCATAACGATGATCGTATGTTGTTCATTCCTTTCTTAAACAATATCGGAGCAAATTGTTACCTAATTTATGTCAGGCTGATCAGGTTCAACGGCTGTATTACGTAAGATCTCGACCTTATTTTCATTCACCACATTACATTTCCATGTCGATCAAAATGTAAAAATACCAGAGTCTCTGTAGTTAAAAACAAATAAAGCGTCATCAGGTGCTCCACCAATTAATTTGATAAAACCGATAATCGAATTAAATCAATTTAAAAGTAACATTTTCCATTTAAGGAGGTAGAAAAAGGATGCTGTCTTTTTTCTTGTCTTTGACAGACTCAAGTCATGTAAATAATCTGATTGCGAAATCTTTTAGTAAGAAAATGAATGTCAAAATTGATAAAATCGCTTGAGGTTGTATGTCTCTGACAAGATTGGATAAGAATAGGTATTAAAATATGTAGGGCTGAAATAAATTATTTATATTATCGGATACTGTCTGGGGCAATGTAATTTTCCTGTCTATCTCCCGGCGAACTCGAGGGAGCTCGGAGACATTCCATCTAATCATCTTTTGGAAGGACTTTCCAGAATTTCGACGTGTAGCTTCCCGATTGAACAAATGCTAAAAACCACTGCACATGGATCGAATGATTGTGATAATGGTTTCGTTTGTACTAAAAACTGTAAATACCTGAGTGTTTTGTACCATATTCGACACTTTGGAATAAGTTTCTTTCCCACTCGTCTTCTGTCTTCTAACTTGCGACTTGGATGGTTCTAGCGTTCGAGTACTCAAGTTGTACGCTGTATAGCAAAAGTCTAAGTTTTAAATGTAACACTCCCAATGTGACAGGAATGATAAGCTGCATACCTTGAGCTATATAAATTCTAACGTTATTATTATCACTATTATTAGAGAGGTAATCTTACAATTTGTATATTCCCCGATTTTTATTACGCTTTTGTTACCAGAAACTATGACTTAGACCTACTTTATTTCCTGAATCAAGATTCTGTGTCATTTTATCTACCTCACACCGTAGTCATTCGTTAACTAATATAGAAATGATTAGTACTAATTAATTGTACATTTATCAAAAGCGCTGCAGGCCTACTTAACAGTCATTGCTTCTTAGCTATTACTAATTAGGTAGATTGTTTAGAAAATAAACCATATTTTATTAATTTGAGTATTCGTCATCTTATATATTAACTATGTTAATTTTAATTTTATGTTTACTTTGTCTACAGCTTTATGCCAGTTCTTAAGTATATAATGGAAAATGCTATACACAAAGATTTACGTCTATTGCGTGGTAAAACTATTGAGTGTATAAGTCTTATTGGATTGGCTGTTGGAAAAGAAAAGTTTATTCAGGATGTCGGTCCGGTAATGAATCTATTACTTCAAACTCAAACTCAAACGGATTCTGAATCATCAGATGAAGATGATCCTCAAGTAAGTCTTCATTATATAGTATTTAGGAATGTGTTTGCATCTACTGTTATTCTTTTGATTTATGATTATAATTTCTAATTCCTAGGCTTCTTATATGATTAGCGCTTGGGCACGAATCTGCAAGCTATTGGGTCGTGATTTCGAAAGTTATCTTCCTGTTGTTATGCCACAAGTATTACGCTCTGCCTGTGTAAAACCTGAGATATGTATCCTCGACAATGATGAAGCAGACGATGTAGAATCGGATGTTGATTGGCAAGTTGTAAAATTGGGAGAGGACCGTAATTATGCAATTCGTACAAGGTTAGTTGGAAATATGAAGATTATTTTATTGTTAGCTTAAGTTAGTTCAAACCCTAATGGTTGATAAAATTATTTATTTTTCTTTAGTGGACTAGAAGACAAAGCAACAGCTTGCCAGATGCTGGTTTGTTATGCACGTGAAATGAAGGAGAGTTTTGCTCCTTATTGTCAACAAGTTTTGGATATTATGGTCCCGTTGCTTGACTTCTATTTTAATGATGAAGTAAGTTATAATCAGTTCTATTTAATTAATCAGTTGATAGATTTTTTCTTAAAGACATGTTCTGTAAATTATTTGACATTTTAAAGTCTTATAACCAACTTAACAACATGAATATACCTCCTCCCTTAAGTAATTAATGATTACTACATTCGGTGGCTACGTGATATGGGAAGGAAAAATTACGCCTAGTAGTTAGGTCTCAATCGAGTAAAAGCGTGATTGAACTACAAACTGTGATCCCTTGCAGTAGCTTATGACATTTTATGGTATTGTTTTTCGTACTAATATTTCATACACAAAAGTGTCATTTTATTAAATTAAGAAATTAATTATTGTGGCTAGTGGTCTTGTCTTTGGTTTTAAATCACTCGACAGCTTATGTCAACAATTCGATCTCGTGAGCAGCCACTACTCTCAAATACTCTTTGTGTCACTGTATATCACTGATTGATCATCATTTATACTCATTGATTTTAACAATTGAAAATTCGTTTATGGAATTAGAAAATCGTAGTTCTCAACTTTAATTTTCCGGTATTATAATTTTAACTAATTCTGTTAATAGCAAATACGAAGCTCCCAATCACTAATACTACAGTGTTTTTTAAAGATTTCAGTGATTGTATTTATTCTAAAGCACCATACTCATATACGAAAGATTAAATCTGTGCAGAGATAAAAGTCCAAGGGAGCAAGACCATAGTTATCCATCGACTAAGAGGACCCCTACGACACGAGAACTTGATCAATGAAAATACTGACATCCACTAGGTGTCGGGGGTTACCCCATATAACTATTCTTACCTTATGATATTTATCAATAGAAGTTTTTTCTTGTTGTATTTGTACACATTACATCAACCATGCATTTCTTGACGTTTTTCTTCAAACAAATAGGTTCGTAGTGCTGCTGCCGAATGCTTACCTTTTCTTCTTAGTAGTATGAAGGTTAAGCAACCAGAATTGGTAAAAGCTGCCTGGGAACGTGTACACAAAAGTCTTATACGAGCAGTAACCAGCGAACCTGAACGTGATGTTGTAGCAGATCATCTACAAGCACTTGCAAATTCTATCGAAGCAGTTGGAAAGACTTACGTGACAAGTGATCAATTAGCTGAAATTCGAAAACTGTTAGATCATTTGTTTCATGAACATTTTGAAAAAAGTGACGAACGTCTTGCACAACGACAGGTAAGTTGCATTCAGTTTACATTGTTCTTGTAATGTTCATAAAAAGTCACTATTACACAGAAGTATTAAAACACAAAATACCCTCTTATTAATTTAGATTTAACGATTTCTGGTGATAAATAAACCTCGCAAACATATTACACTTTTCGTTATTTTATATGGGACACTGGATCTGTCAATTAAGTTAATTACCACCCCCCCACACACAATTCCTGGACCAAATTAAGGACATTCAAATCAACAACGACGAACTAATGATGTCCTTCGACGTAACAGCACTATTCACTTCAATTGAACCAAAATTAGCAAAAGAAAATATATCCCTGCTGCTCAACAACGACACAAATCTCACTAAACACACGAAGCTTCAAATTCAAAGTCTACTAGAACTCATCGATTTATGTCTAACAACATATTTTCAATTCAACAACAAAATCTACGAACAAATAAAAGGGACACTAATGGGATCACCAATATCAGGACTGATCGCAGAGGCAGTGATGCAAATACTAGAAGCCGCGATGCTACCAGTGATCAAGCCAAAAATTTGGATTCGCTATGTAGACGACACCTTCGTCATCGTCAAAAAGAATGAGATGGAAAATACTTACAAACTGATCAACAACGTTTTCGATGACATCAAGTTCACGATGGAACAGGAGTCAAACAACAAACTATCATTCTTGGATATATTGATCACTAAAACCGCCACAGGAAAACTGGAAACTCAAGTTTATGGGAAACCGACCCATACAGATCAAATCCTCAACTACAATAGCAACAACCCAAGAGCTCACAAAATCAACTGCATACACACTTTTTTCAAGAGGGCGAGGGCACACTGGCAGCACGAAAAAATGAAGAGAAATACCTGAAGGACGTATTTCAAAAGAACGGCTACCCAATCAACTCCATCAAAAAATACCAACCGCACGCAGCATCAGAACTGAAGTCAAGCAGAAAAATTAACAAAAGGATCACCTTACCATACATACAAGGAATATCAGAAACCTCAACGAGACTGCTGAAAACCTTCGGGATCGGTGTGGCACACAAACCAACAAAATCACTAGAATCAATCCTATACAAATCAAAGGATGAAATAACAAAGGAAAACAAATCAAACACCATCTACAAAATAAATTGTACCAACTGCCAAAAACACTACATCGGACAGAGTGGACGCCCCCTTCGCCTACATGAACACCAATTAGCAGTCAAACGCCATGATACTTCCTCACTTATATCAATACACGTGGACAATTGCGGACACTCATTCGATTGGAAAAATGTGGAAATCTTAGACAGAGGAAATTCCAAAAACACTGGAGAATTTTTAGAAGCCAGGCATTCAGCTCAATCAGCAATCAACAAGCATATTGAAATCGATCCAACTTATCAACCAATCAGGAAAATTATGCACAAATATAGGAACAAAAATCAAACCGATGGGAGACACAACCAAAACAAAGGAGTAAACAATGACAAATTTAAGGTCAATAAGAACCAATCAACGTCGAGGTGTACAGAACTAGCTGTGAAACGCATATGAAGAAATTCGAACACTTCACTTCTATCTGAAGTTTGTGCTGATGATGTCGTTCAGAAGAACGATGAAAGCTCCACGACCAAACCAAAATGTATCTTCAGTTAACTAAATAGGCAAATGGAACATAAACAAAAAAATTAAACATTTTAATTTTATTCATAGTACAATAAACTCGACTATCTGCCTATTTTACTCACTTTTTTGATGATAAAGTATGTATATTATCATGTATTTCACTCATGTTTAAGGAAGAGTTTCACTTAACCATTATAAGCGTGACATTATTATATAGATTTGCAAAACACATTTATTCAAAACAAGTTATAACATTTTTCTACTTTGCCCAGAATGAAGATTATGATGAATTCGAAGAAGAACGCCTGTTAAGTGAAAAAGATGAAGATGAATATGTTTTATCAAAAATGTGTGATATTGTTCATTCCATTTTCGCTGCTTTTGGTGTTGAAGCACTTCCTTTCTTTCAACAACTTATGGTATTCTGTGTCAAACTCCTGGTATGTGTTTATTTACTATTTATTTGTTTATTTATTTATATGAACAAACATTGACACAAAGGTAAACCAAAATATATTTACACCATTTCCCCCCAGGATCTTAAAGCCCACATGCACCATTGGTTTGAAATCAGGGTTTTCCAATTCTCCTGGGTGGATTCTCTGTACCCAACCATCAAACTAGTTTAAGCTCCGGATATCCACTGTTAAGGGAAATATTTCTATCACTTTCTTTTCAATAAGTTGTTTTTTAGTTTTAATCATTCTCTTTCTTCGCCCTGCATAGGCTGCAAGTTCTTTTTTTATATGGATCTTCATAGCATTACTCGCACACCGTAAAATGACCGAGTGAGCAATATTAATGTTAGTCATTAAGTACTAAACATCGGTGATGTTGTAAACCTTCATCAATTGTAATAATTACGACGTGCTACTTATGTCCATCTACCTACCACCCACCTCAGTGGGCAATATTTTCTAATGTGAGAGTAAGTTTGAAGAAAGTTGGGCATGGCCAAACCAACACATGATATCAATCCATGAAGTCACTGACTGTTGGTAGATGTACAATGTCTGATTGGTGTCCACTTGATGACCATGATCAACGATTAGAGACATTTGGGCTACATGATTGAGAATCATTCATATTGACGCATACGGCATTACTCTTTATCTCCCTCTCTATTTTGAGTTGCAGTATTCCTTTATATGTACCTTTTCATTCTGTCTTTTCGAATAATCTCAATGTTTAATCTCTGGTTATTATTACTGCTACTTTATTTCGACTCTACTATTTATCTCATCTCATCCCGATATGGTATGAATTGTGCCTACACACATCTGTATCTGGCTCTACTTTGATTACGGATGGATGAAGATAGTGTGAAAAGCAGTCGAATTTGGATTGGTTTTGATAGGGAAAATAGATTAAACTATCTACACATCGTTCAGTTATCTGCTTTAGTGCACCAAGTGTAAATACAAATCCAATTATACATTCCACTACAGTACACCATTTCAAATCGCTCACCCCCAGATTGTTGTAATAAAAATTAGGGATTTCTACGGTTAATTAAAGGCAATGTCTGTTTAGTATAATTATTCCTGACATGATACCCTATCATAAATCTTAAAAGCATTTGATCTGAACAAGTTTTAACATAGTGCGTTTGTAGACTAGTTAGAAGTATTCCATCTGTTCATTCATATTCTCATATTTGTTTTAACCTGGTTTTTTTCATAGGAACAAAATCGTCCTTGGTCAGATTTGCAGTGGGGCATCTGTTTATGGGATGAGGTAATTGAATTTACTGGAACACAGAGTTGGCAATTTCATCAATTCTTCTTGCCTACATTTGTCCAAGCTGTACATCACCAGCAACCGGATGTTCGCCAAGCTGTTGTTTATGGGATCGGTGTAGCTGCTATAAAAGGCGGTCCTGAGTATAATCAAATATTGTCTGATTTTGTTGGACCACTTATACAGCTTATTGAAGCCCCAGATTCAAAGTCTGAAGAAAACAATTTATGCACCGAAAACGCAATTAGCGCTGTCACAAAGGTGCGTTTCAATAATTTTCAAATGCATTTTTCTGCACAATTTGTGCCATTCGTTGTCTGTTTTTGCATTCCAGTGCGGTGTGAGCTCTTAGTGATAATTACCTAATTTATTTGTCTAATGGTTACGGTAGCTCTGATTGGACTGAACTTGTCTATTCATTTTGTTTACTAATATTCCTTAATTTATATAGCAATCAATAATTTACATTTTCAACAACATTAATGTTTTTATTGAACAGATTATGAAATATCGACCTGAATGTTTACCGCCAGCGCTAGGAGGTATTGACGCTTTGATCGTTCGATGGTTAGGTTGGCTTCCTATATGTGATGATACTGTAGAGACTGAACATGTATACGGCTATCTATGTGATCTTATTGAAGCCAATAATCCTGTTGTTATTGGGCCGGATAATTCCAACCTACCCCGTATCGTTCGTGCTATCGCTGAATCTATGTCTACTGGCGGCTTGTTTGATACAAATGCTGAAGAAAATCGATCGAAATTGGAAACGGTTAATGAGACTAGTGGTTTCAATCAGCAAAACGGTTTGGAAAAACCTTCCGCTTATCAACGATGTGTATCCATACTGCGCCACATACAAGTAAGCCACTTGAGTTTAATTCACATTTTCGAAACATGAGTTTGTGCTAATAACTAAGATAAACGCTTCAAGATCAACCCACACAGCTTAGAAGACTCGATTTCATCAATAAACATATTTTCACCTTCCCGCTGGATATGTCTCACACATTACACATTATGCGTACAGAATTACCGTTTGTTAGGCAGTTATTCTTCAGAAATGTCTGTGAATATTAAGGATTAAAAGTAAAAAATCCCTAACCTGTCTTTTACTTTTGAATTGGTTTGTTACTCTATGATCTGTATAGATCTTTCATTTTGACCATAAAAACTAAGACACCTTTCTTCTCATCTCGTTAGTAATAAATTTACTAAATCTTTTACATACACAATGGGAACTTCAAGAAATCATGAACAACACAAGATTTATTGGAAATATGCATACACCCAAATTACTAACACTTTACGCCGATACAGTAGGAGAGGAGCTTAGAGAAATGGAAATAAAAAGAGGAAAATACCGACAACTATTTCAGTGAAAAATTTAGCCTAAAAGACAACTGAAATAGATCAATGACAATTAAACAATCAAAGGTGGAACAAAACTAAGGAGTGAGCAAGTGTTACTCTCATTGATTTCGAGCTATTTCATCCAATGTCTTTAGAATTTCTTTTTTTAAAGCTGTAATCAAAGAGAATTTTGTAGTCCACGTTCCACTCAGTGTGACAATCATTTCATAATTCTTGGATGATGTTTGTACTATAGTTTGGTAATAAATAACTTTGATTATTATAGTTTTCTTTTATAGAATCGTATTTTCAACAATTAGAATGATGAATGTTTCAGTTCAAGTTGAAAACTGATAATCTACTGTTGAATAAGATTTTTTTATATTGTGACCATCCACTTGTAAATATGTTACAGGTAAAAGAGAGAAGCATCAATCTCTTTGAATATTATCAATGAAAAATGTTTAAAGTCTATTTTATTTTTAAATTTTAGTCACCTTAAACTTTTAATAAAATTTTCTTCATGTAAATATCTTTTGTTTTATTATTATTTTCTTCTTCTTTTAGTCTAATTCATCTTTGGTAGAGGTTTGTGTCAGTCAGTTAAATGAAGAACAACGTAAAGCTCTTGGAATTGCTTTAATGGGTCAATAATATGAATAAGATAGACCATTTCATAAAATTAATTTTATGCCTATTCTGATTGTTTATAAACGTGGATAAATTTAATTTATCATTCTAATTAATATCTTTACTATTTCCCTCTTTATAGAGAAGTATACTACATTAATTTATTAATGTTTTGTAGATCTTGTAAATTATTCCAAAAAGTGTAGAATAAGCACTTCCTATTTGAAAAGAAAATATTTTTTTCTCTCTCTCTTCTATCTGCATGGATATTTCAGTTTTTTGTCTACTTTGTTATGGTCTTCTATAAACTAAATTGTATGCGTACCACCGAAGTCTTTTTTTTAATTAAACCAATCAGATTCAAATTATGACATTGTTTGACGCTTAATATGTATCGTATTTGTTCATATATGTATTGGTATCTGTTTCAGTGTTTTTCTGAATTACTTTTCTCATGTGCTTTCCTCATATAGATTTTCCATTGGATCAGGATAATAAATGTAACATATGTGGTTTAATTTAATTAACCGTTTTCATTTCAGCCAGTACTTCAATATTCATGTATGTTTTAATCTGATGCTGTTAGTCATAAATAAAGTAAGCTTAGCTGGTTGGTCATTCATTGTTTTTGTTGTTACTTCGGTTTTTCATCCGTTATTCATTAATTGGCATCTCGTAAATTTAAAAGTTTACAGGAGGAAAATTTATTTGTTCATTTCTATGTAGCAGCATTGTTAAATACAAAATGTCTATCTCGTCTCCCTGTTACTAACAATAGTGGTATTGAGCCTGTCATTAATTTTTTTCCAAAGAAGAACAAGTCTTAAGTTAGTTCTAGTTACATCGAAACTGTAATGTATGTCTTAGTTCAGAGGGACCAAGCATATTTGCTGTTAAAGGTGACTTCAAAATTTTCGAATTAATGAACAGTTTTCAATTGTTTAAAATGAAGCATTAATTGAAAAGATTGTACATTTATTAGATTCAGCTGAACTTTCAGAAGATGGTGTATCCAAAGATCATATTTTCGAAGCATCAATTACTCAGTACGTAATGCTCCATTCCGAAATAGAATTAATTTTCTCTCTCGATAGTTATAGCACTTATTTCCTATTGTTCAGTCAGCATCAACAGTGAAATTGCTTTCCGTGTTGATTTTTGTTTGTGATAATCATCAAATATTCCGATTTCAATAGTTGAGTTTCAGTAAATTGTAACATTCAAGACGAACAAAACAATCTCATACTCTTAAGAATTCAATAAATAGTAATAGCTAAGCAAGTTATTCCACATTATATTCGATGTATTCCAGGCACTACTAATTAAAAAATGGCACCAGTCAATCTTGAAGTGAAAAACGTGTGTAAGCACATTACTCTGTAACATTTTTGAAGTCCAGTGTGAAGGGAATTATGTTTTACGAGTACATAACTTATATCCGGATTATTCAGCCATAGTAAACGTAGTACTCATCAAAAATTGTCATCGGCTCGGGTTGTCACTCTAAATCAGGACAATGATCTAGTGGACTGATAAAAAATCTAATGATCAGTGCATGTGTTTGGCCAGTAAGTGGTTTCATTTTCTAAGGAATAAACGTGTGTAAATGATTGCTTATTTATGCACAGTGCGTTCTAAAGTCATTATTAGTCTGTTAGACTAAATAAACAGTGCCTTAAACGTCTGAACTTTACTGCAGATACTGTTCCATTAACTGATAAACTTGTTTCCGCATGATTGATTCGTTGCCATGTCAACCTAATCCAGGTAAACAAAACTACCTGTTACTCAAAGTACTGTCACTGGACTTTGTTGCAGTTTACCTAATTTTCACGTCTATCATTTTAAATATTTACGAGTTAATTTAAAAAGTGCTAAGCAGTACTTAAAATTACAATTGATTTGTCTGTGTTCACTGAACAAAGTTGTTGCGAATTAGATTTCTGTATGCTCACTTAATTGAATTACTAGCTTATCTAATTCACAAATAAACAGTTTCTCGTAAGTTAAATGACATCAGTGACCAGCAACAGCTGGATATCGTATGTTTTATTGGCCCGCTCAGATTTTTCTATCCCCAATAAGAACATTGGAAAAATATACCAACTTATGTTATTATTATGATTGAAAAACATGGTAATGCGTATCGCTTACTTAACCACAATGTGTCACTATCGTGTTCATAACTATGCCTTTCTCGGTACGAAGTGATTAATAAGTATGTAATAATTAACTGTAACCTATGAACTGTTATACCGACGGTTAGTTAGTTTACAATTATGGCTGCATTGAAATACCATAAACCACATATTTATTATCTACATAATAAAAATATGTATACTCACTAGAATGTCCCTAATGATTAAAAATCTTTCGGAGTCAAGATCGTTCTAGTCTGATCTATCACAGCACTGATCAAAGAGATAATGGCTTAGTAGTTAGTAGACAGATGTCGTCCTTATGATGTTGGGGTAAGACTTTACTTCACTTCGTTTGAGTACTTATTTGCTATCAAGCTGAAAGTGTACTCCAAGGCTAATTTCACAAACTAGTATTTGGTTTCCAAGTTATGTTGAGCAGAATAAAATGTTGGTCGATTTGTGATAACTTTGGTGATTGTTGTCAGCAAAAATGTAACGTAAAAAATTCCGCCCTTGGAATCTCTGAGATTACATTGCAGTATCCTGTCTCACTAACTCATAATGAGTTCAACGAATAAAATACTGCAGAATAGACAAGGTGATATCTGATCACAATTACTGTTTATTTAATGACATTTCATTGTACAATATATAAACTAAATAAAATCTACTATAATTTAACTAGTTCAAACAAGTTCCTGCTACTAATTTTTGAAATATAGTATAATGGTATTTATTATAACATGATTGCCAAAATACAGTCGTGTTTTAATAGATGAATTGATGAGTCAATTAATGCTACACCACCATAAAAAACCTGAATGGCCGTTTCGTCCTAGTATGCGACTCCTCGGCATTACGCATCCCGCGGGATCATGGACCACACTGCTGAGGAGTCCCATACTGGGACGAAACGACCATTCAGTGCCTACAGGTTTTTTATGGTGGTTTAGCTTCAACTGACTCATGAGTTTAACTATTAAGTTACTAAGATCTCAACAAAACCCCCTTCTAATTAAAACCGTATGTGTAGAATTATTCACAACAAGACAATCGCAGACTGTTTTGATTGATTATCATGGGTACTACAGCTTGTAAAGTCTTGTGCATAATATATTTTTGCTGACAAATGTGGGATTTTTTGTTAGAATATAACTTCAACTACCTATTAGGCATGAAGAATTACGGTTAACATTTAGGGTTAAGCTTCTGATATCAAATATAATGTAAGAATGACTTTTAGTAATGTGAATGAGTTTCGTGCGATAAAATCCCAAGAGGCACTATCTTTAATCTAATTGGTTCGTCCATAACGTGTAGATCTGCTAAATTTCCTAAGAATATTACTATGATATAGAATATTCAGTCAAATTGTCTACATTTAACATTCATTTATTGGATTCTATAAAACAGAAAAACAAATCTTGAGCATAGATAGTTCAACTTATATAAAATATAATCTAGTGTTGCATTATTTTTATTCACTTTGCCCAATGCGATTACCGAAAAAAGGTTGAGGGGACCAAATATACTTGGATACAAAATTACAAAATCTCTTAATATAATCTGTGTACCATACAGTAAATATTTCATTTGCACAATGTTTAACAATTGTTTTAGACTTTATTGGTTCTTCATTTAAATACCAGTCATTCTTTTATCTTTTTCTCTTCCTTTCGATCTTCTCAACCTTTTGTGTCCAGGCATTCTACTTTCAACTGGTGTATATACTACTTATATCTGTCGACATCATTAGCACACACGAACTTCACATATAGCAATAATTTCTCAATTCTGAGCGTTTCACAATTGATTGATCACCGGGTGGTGATCAATGTCATGTCTGTCAAGTCCTTCTTAGTGCAGATCGAATGCTGTCGACAAAGTTTTACTAACCTTCTTACTTTTAAGAATTAAAAAAGTATTGTTAATGAATCCATATATTCGGTTGCGATTCTATTTCAGTGATCAGTAATAAATCAATAATCATTCAGAAAGTGAATTACATACTCAACGATTACGTCAATGCATCGTTAAACTGTCACTACGTAAAATGTATTGACTTGTTGGTTTTGCAACTTCATGAAGCAAACAATGAAATTGATTGATAATTGATTAAAATTAATTTTTTAATTGTAAAAGACACGACTTTACTTTTATCACCGTGTCAAACATTATTATTATTATTATTATTATTATTATTATTATTATTATTATTATTATTGGTTTCTACAATTATGTGTTTGTGTTTAAGATCAATTAAATTCATGTCAGCAAATCTGTAAATTTATCAACTCGGTTTTATGCTTGATACTCAAACTATGAATGATAGGAAGTAAAATCAAAATACCAAGAGGTAACCGAAACTACCAAACCCAGTAAATTCAATTTTTAATCCAACCTGAATGTTTTGGTGATGTAATCTCTTTTCACTTACTCTAAAATATCATCAGAATATTTGTGTGTGTGCTGGGATACTATCCGAGTACTAAAACGGAAATAAGTAGTTTTCTTAAGGGGCCGTTCGCTGATCCAATAATTTAGAGGTCTAGTTCATAAGACAATGGAGAACGTCAGGAGATACTGCCCCATGTTAACCAGTGACTAAAAATATGTTCGTACACCATTCGTTCTCTACAGATCCTGGGGCGCGTATGCTCCTTAGTCTCGAATTAGAGTCTTCCGAATCTCCCAGGTATATCCTGAGTATTTACCAACATAGTCAATTGGTGGACATTTGTTTTTCATTCACTCACTTGTGTAAATAAAACTCCTTCAACAAGGAGATGCTGAGAAAGACTTCACAGGCAGTGGGCAGTATTTCAAAAGGGAGAATGGAATTTCTCCATCCTCTGTCGTGCCAGAGCAATTGGTATAAATAACTTCTATTATTGACATCATTCATATACAATTCATTTAGTTTATTTGAAACTTTCTCACATGTCACAGAGAATGATGGTGAGAAATTCACATTCAGTGATTATTTTATTATGGAAAAGTAAGAATATGATTCAATAAAGAAATTTCAAGAGAATTTTCCCTTGTTTTGATATGTTGCTTATTTTCATAATATGTGTAACTCTATTATTTGACTTAATTTCATAATTATTATATTCTATTCAGTCTTTGTAATAATCCTAATTCAGTTTTGATTCGACCACTAAATACAAATAACAAAGTTGATTGTTTATATTTATTACTATGTTCAATAAGTCGTTATATATATATAACTAAATCACTGGGAAGAATTCACTTCACTGAATCACATTTTTGTTTCTCATGTATCATTATAGATATTTTTTAGGGGGGGGGTATTCAAAATTAATTCAATGTGACAACAGAGCACATATTTCACTTTTTATTAATTTTTTATATAAAGGGTCAACATTATGTCATTGGATCATTGGAAATTCCAGTTGTATCCCGATAAGAATAATGAATGATAATTTTTGGGATCCATTTGTGGACCAATACTATGAGTATATTTTTATTGTATAATTGTTATGTAACTAAACTGTTCATATTCATGCCCCTCTTATTATGAGCTTTATTTTGACCTATGAACTGTTATTATACGATTTACCATTCATGAATTATTCCCTGTCTTTTAATCGCTACCTCCCTCATTCACAGTCACATCTGGCTAATTCTTGCACAAATATTGTTTCATATTTTATTGGTACGTTGTGGTCGGTTTCTTTGGTATATGAACTCAGTATGCTTGAAATATAATGATTCATATCTCAGAGGCTGAGACTTGCGTTCTGGACTCAACTGGCTGGGCTAGACAGGGAAGCAGGGCCAATCGGGACTCTAGGTCGTTCTTACGTGTTTTACGCGTCTTTGGTCCGATCGATAATACTCTGCACTCTAATCCACAGTCACAAGTTATAACGATTCCCAACTTCCATTTACTTGATTTTGTACAGATTTCATTGAATGACAACTTCATGAAGTTACATTTCATGAAATAATATTTTATCGAACTAATAACTTAAATCATATTTATCATAATCATTTAGTTGATTTGATCAAAAACAATGCTGAAATGATCAAGTCAATACTGTGCTCTTGAAACTGATCATCAACTGAGAATATTTGTCCGAAGTCTATAACCAATGACTAACAAATTCACTGTCCTAATAATTAATCAAAGCTATCAGTATGTAAATCTCATCGCTCAATGAATAAAAACAGAAATTAAAAAAATAACCAATGATATATATATACGGAATCGTGAAGGGAAATGGAAATCGGAAGCAGACATGAATAGCAACTGAAAAGGATTGCCCAGGACACGGTTGGATGAAGAGTGCTGGTGGTCGACCTATACTCCTTCACGAAAGGTAACAGGCGTAAGTAACATATATATATATATATATATATATATATATATATATATATATATATATCATATTATTTAGCAATATAATGGCGTACTACAACACCCTTGTAGTTGATAATCTCTCTACAAAGACAATTTTATTATACTAATTATCAATCAATTGGATTATCTATTTTTCACATTT